CTTCTGCTGCTGCTGGTTCTCTTATTGCGGTCTCGCTGGTTTGTGGCATTTATTGCTGCAACACTGCTTTTGTGGTTTAATAACGCTAATGTCATTTCAATTAAATTGGCAAAGAATGATTAAACGTTTAAATGATTGAGTGAGTGCACGAGCGATGGCGAGGAGGAATAGGTAATTGACTAAGCGAATGGCTAACTGTTGCACAGTGACAGCTGGCTGACTGACTGACTAACTGGCCGACTAATGACGATTTTGATGTAAATCTGCTAAGCGCAGTTTGTGTGTTTGGCCGACTATTTGGTGTGCCATGTTTTGAGAACTGACAGATTGGCTGCCACACTGGTTTACTGTCCGGCCGCGTGACAGCGTTTCCATCTGCCTGCTAGTGTTGATGATCGCCTCCGCATTGGATTACTCGTGCCCACACACAACCATACATACATACAAATCCATTTCTATTAAATAAAAAAAAAAATACAAAAATGAATGGCATTGCAAATCGGCAGCTGCAGCTGCAGTTTTAATTAAACTTTTTCACACCAGCCATTAAGAATGCAAAGGAGCTCTTTGTTAGACAGCAGCATTTTTGTTGTGCATATATTACATATTTATTTTATTTTGATGATTTATTTTGTTAACCATTTTCAATTTAATTAAAATATCACCGTTTTGCGATTGAATTGAATTTTGAAATTAATAAATTTCGCGTCGAGTGCCAGACCAGTACATTATTTATGAAAATAGATATGAGGCAGACAAAAAGCTTATTGAAAACTAGTAGAAGAACAAACGAGGCCCCGCTGATAAGTGCCAATGCAATACTTTTGTGGATTTGTAGAAATTTTTGGGATCGTTGTATGGATTATGGCTTGACAGTGTCGACAAGGCTAGCTCAGCCTGATCTACATTCCAAAAAGCTGGAAAAGAGTCAAAGTTGTTTTAATTCCCAAAGCGGCAAGCAGAACGTACGAAAAGGCAAGAAACTCATAACTTGAATATCCTTCCAACTAAAGGCACCGGTAAGACTATTATACTTGCTTATATTAAGTGCAGGTCGGGCGAACCCGTGCTACAAGAAGTTATGTATATCTGACCACATGCGTCTGGCCAGTCAAGGAAATGTGTAGTAATCTCTCTTTGGACTATGCCAAGGGGCCAACCCAGTATCGCCTCTCGGTCGTCCACTCGGTCTCTCCTCAAGTCCCTTCTGGATAGGAATAACAAATGCACGTTGCAGCTGAAGTCCAAATTGCCTACCATATAGTCTTCTTTTCAATAAATGAAGCATTACCAGGTTTTGATATGTATGTATGTATATTGGATTATCTGAGACACTTTTTAAAAACGCAAGTTCAGAAGTCTTTTGGTTATACGCTTTCAGGCTTCGTGGTCATTGAATCAATGACTCAAATACTTGTCTTCCCCATACTGGCGCCAGTCATACTTAAAATAGAAATATTTTTATATGCGCATTACCAAAAATATAAAAAGAACATTTTTTTGTTTGAAAGCAATAAAAAATATGGATTACGCTAAGTGAATACTACGTACTTACTTAATAAGCCTACTTGTTTTGATTGATTTACAGTTAAAACATTTACCTGTTTGGCCTCGTATGCGTATGAAATATGTGTTTTTTTGTACTAGGCAAATAATAAATATTTTAAGTGCGAATAGTCTTGTTGATAAGGGTTTGAATAGTTGTAAAATGCCATTTACATTCATATTGTTGATTTGTAAAACAATTGAAATTTAATTTAATTTTGATATGCTTGAGTGCATACTTCATACATACTATGTACATATGTATGTATGATGATGCTGAGCTAGAAAAAAAATGGTTTTATAAAAAAAAAAAGCTTTAAAACTCAATTTCTACCAATCCATTTTTCCGAAAAAAATTGTATAACTCATGCATCCATGTGTTGGCGCACAAATGTACATATGTATTACATTTATGGCTCTATGTAATACTACAAGTACACGTATTTTAACCGTTATACAAGCAACAAGTTCAACAATATTAAGTTTGTGTAGAACTAGCTTGCATAATTGAGGTTTATATGGGAGGGGAGAAGGACAGGTTATAGCAGCATTGGAGTTCCTTTGTCGGTCGTAAAAGATATGGCTTTGACATTCCTAGAATTCGGAAATTCGATTTCATGCAACTACGAGTAATAAGTCTCACATTTGCATACTGATAATGACATCAATGCATATATGTATTCTCTTCTGCGAGCCTGCTGCTTACATACCATATACATGTGTATACATATGTATGTATATGGGGCAATTCACGTAAAATGTCCCAAGTCCAAAAGTTATTAAAAATTGTTTGTATTGTAGATTAATATCTAAGGAAGTTTTTATAAAGGTTTCACATTCAAACATCAAGTAGCCTTAAAGTTATAGCATTATTAAAGTGACGCGCACGGTGAGCGGCTTAGCGCACTTTAAAGCGCTTCATAACTTGTAAAAATAAAAAAGTCCCTTTTTTTATTAATGATTTCTATGTAAAACTAACTGATCTTTGGATTGAGATGACTAAAAATAAATACAAATTACCATAATTGAGAAAAATTTACTAATAAATTTTCATTTAAAATTTTCAGCGCACAAAAATCTATAGAAATCATAGTTTTTGATCTTTTTCCAAAATTTTCTGTCTGCTTCCCAGCTAGTCAAAAATAAGCTTGTTATGCACCGCTCAGCGCGCTTGGGACATTTGACGTGAATTGACCCATATGTATGTATGGTATATATGTACATAAGTATATGTGCTTATACCTGTAGGTACTTACCGTATCTACATATGTAGCGGTACTTTTACGGAAGAACCTCAGAAAGTTGTTCAGCAAGTGTATTTTTGTCAAGCAACAATTATGCAACAGAACAAATAGTAGAGGTATTCTCTGAGTCTTGCAAAGCCCTTGCACGGTGCACGGATTGCACGGTTTGCAAAGCTGTCCCATACGAAAACCGGTTTTTACCGTGCAATCCGTGCAATATGTGCACCATGCAAGGCCTTTGCAAGACCCAGAGAATACCCCTAGTAAGTAATAAGTAGCTCATATTTTCTTAAAGTACCACAAACAAATTATGTAGCAACCACAAAGCAATTCACCATATTTCTAACATACATATGTATGTATGTATGTATGTATATGATATAAAAGAATAACAACTAAGAAATTAAAAGAAAAAACTAAAAACAATGCTAAATTTATTTTTTTACTCATGGAGTTGCCTCTTTTTGTACTTTTGTTTTATTATTATTATTATTTACTTCAAGACGGAACGACAAAGCATTTCTCCCGCGTTCTGACAACTGTTGACGTTTATGATGAATACTTTTCTTTTATCGTGAAATTCTCTTTTTTCTTCTTCTGCTCGGGCTATTGGCTAGTGCCTTGTGGAAGACTTCAAAACAGAAACAGAAGTAAATGAAGTAGAAAAATTTAAAATGCGTGTGGTGACCAGTGGTGGCCTGCAGTTGTAGCTAACTACATATCGAGGGTTTATATTCAATACCCTCCATCTGCACGCCTATTGGTATAGAGAAAACTGCAATAGATAAAAATGTGCTCTGCAAAAAATTTCCCAACTCGTATAACCGAAATAAGTGCTTCCCCGAATATTAATTTCCGCACCCTAGGATTGTTCTATATATCTCTGTTTTTTATTTCGAAATCAAAAAATATTTAGAGTTCGCTCAAAGACCTCAAAATTTCCATGAATTTATATGGAGAAATGTAATTTTCCATGAAAATGGTATAGAAATCTTGAAAATCAATATTTTTCTATCGGAAAACTTTGTTTCTCTTCAGTAGACTTTTAGTAATAAAAACCAATCTTTTATTTGACCATTTTTTAATGTCCGCGATTTTTATTTGCTTTTTTTTGTGTGTTTTAGGGGACACTCGCAGGCACTTTTGAAGCAGGTTCTGCCTCCTCTTCAGACCTTTATTGTAAAAAGAAGAGTCCTTCGAATTTATCCACCACAAACAGCCTGTCCATCCACTCTACACACAGTCTTTCGAACACACAGAAGTCTTTCCTTAAGACAATTGTCAGTTTTGGCAACTATCTTTAATGCTCTTTATTGTCTCTCGAAAGACTAATTGAAAGATTTGCTAACGAGAAGGTTTTGGCGTAGTTCTGTTTGTCTTTTAACAATAAGTTTTCTAAAAATTAAAGTAAATAAAAATATATTTTTCTTCTTAAAGCAATAACAATTAAAAATTACATTAAAAAGGGGGGAAAATTAAATAAAAAAAAAAGAATTAATAAAAACTAAATGAAATTAAAAAAAAATACATTTTTCTTTTTATAGAAAAATCTAGATATTAAAAGAAAATTAAATAAAAAACCTATTAATTAAAAAAAAAAATAAAATTTAAATAAGTTCCTAATTATTAAACGAAATTACAAAAAAAAAATTTTCTAAAACAATAAAATCAAAAAATTTTAAGGGGAAAAAATAAGAAAATAAAAAATAGAAATTCCAAAACAAAAATCCAAAACAATAAAATCAAAAATGTTAGGAAAAAAAGATAAGAAAATAAAAAAATAGAAATTAGATACACAAGTTTCTAAAAATTAAATTAAATAAAACAATTATTGTACAACATATAAAGTGCAGAGCTAGCAGCAGAGGCTTTCCGCTAAATAGATTAAATTAAAAAGTATTTTTCTCCTTACTTAACTCAATAAAAACAATAAATTAAAAGAAAACGAAACTAACGTGATCGGACTAAAGAGACAAGGATTTTAAGTTGAGTGGGCTTAAGGGGCGCATGAAATAGTCAATTATGTGTTATATTCAATTTACTTAGCTGTGATTCTACAGAAAATAACGTACACCAAATCTAGCATTAAATTAATGTTAATTTAATTTTATTCTTTCCAAACACAAAACAGCTTTTAATTAACTTTTAAAGCGAATACTAATTGTAAACAATTTTATATTTTTTATATATTTTTTCTTCCTATATTTGCAGATGAAGCAACTTTGAAGAAAACAACAGCAGCGAATAACAAAAAAAAATAACTGCCACACACAGTAACATTCACACAACTGCAACACTGGCAACGCTGCAGCAACATTCGCTCCATTTAAATGTGCCACAACAGCGACGAAGTGAAACTTTAGCGACAACGCAATTCAAAACGCCTCGCACGATCCCATGTCATGATTACAAGAATATCAGCGACAAGAGTATCGTCGTCACAAACGCCCACATGTAACAGATCTAAGTCAAGAGCAACAATGCAGCAACACATGAAAATAACAAAATTAGCGACCACATCAATACCAGCCGGTCAACCGATCGCAGTGCGACATGCAACAACCAATCGCACAGCAACAACAATGCGTCGTTGTAGTCTTGCCGCTTTGCAAGTTTTGGTGCTTGCCTGCGCGCTGCCGCCACCACTTCAACCGCTACTGCCGACACTCCTGCTTACGCCCACGCGGTGGTCATTCGCCGTCGAAGCGTTGCCGATAACGTCGAAGCCCATCGAGGGCACTGCTGAAAATCTTGCCTGGCAGGCGTGGCTCATGTTACCGCCCGAACAGAAGCAGCTGGAGAAATCGCGCAAAGTCACGCCGAAATCGATATTTTCGCTGCCGTTCCGCGACTGCCCGCCCGGGCATCAGCTATTTCAGTCGCGCTGCATACCAACCGTGAACATCAATCAAAGCGATTTGCTGGCGCAGCAAGTGTTGGGCTTGTTGGTTGGTAGTACAACTGGAGGAATGGGTGGAACAGGCAGCGACAATGCATATGAATTTGATTATGAGGACGAGGAGTATGGATTGGGGTTCGGCGAAGGCGAACCGGTGGTGATGTATGAGTCCCCACAGCCTTTCAGCGGCACCTCAGCTGCTGGGTCTGGGAACGCACCTGCGCGCGATGAGCCGCTGAAATTCAATCTGTTCGAGCAAAAGTATCCAACCAGCGATTATGAAACGGATGCAAGTAGCAGTACGTTGGAAGGTAGTGGCGGCGCGCGGCCGTTGAGTGAACCGCTGACCACGCATATGACGGCGGAGGGTGAGCGCGTTGGAGCGAGTGCCAATGATAGAGATGATGGCGCAACCTTCTTCAATTCATCACAGTTCTTAGATGCGGTACAGGGCTTTTTTCAAAGGCATACCACAACGAGCGACGAGAGCACTGCAAATACAACAATGCCCAATGCGACAACTATAGACCAGAGTGTTCGTATTGCCAACGCGACCGAACGCAACACCGACCGTCAAGGACTGAGCGATTTGCATGTGGCTAGCAGCAACATATCGACATTTGCCGTCGGCGACATCGATGCGATTATATTGCCAGCCGTGAGCTCAGGCATGCCAGCAACAACAACAACAACAGTCACGAGTGCTGGCGACAGTGGCGATGGTGGTGGTAGTGCCGGTGCAACTGGTGGCAACCTTGAACCGCAGCGCATATCACTCATCAAGGACGATAACACTGTACAGCTGGTAACAACGGTAATTGCACAGTCAGACGGCTATCATCGCGGAGGAGGTGAAGACGCGGCAGGCGGAGATGTTGGAGATTTAGTTACTGCCGCACAGCAGCAACATAACAGCGTTGCACAATACTTACGCGCCGATGCACTGTTGCCCTTGAGCAGTGCTGCGCCATATATTACAACAACAGCAACTACATTTGATGCAGATAATGCGGATCATGGTACAAAACCACCACCGTTGGCTGCGAAAGACGAGCGCCCACGCAGCGTAACGCAGCAGAATACGGCCGCAGCAGCAGTACCAGCAGACACGGATGCTCAGGAGACAAGTTTCATAACAACAACGGAGCCGGAGGGCACCACCAGTTTTCAAATCGACGAGACAACAGTTGTTGAGGCGAGTGATGAGTCCGCTACTGTTCCGGAGGCTATCCCCCTGCTGGAAGCAATTTCGAAGCAGCAGCAGTTGGAGTTTCAAAAATTGAAAGTAGAACCGGTTGAAGATGAGGCGCCAATAAAAACAACTTCACCCGAGACAGCAATCAACGAGCAAACAACAACAGCTGATGACGATAATACAACAATCGAAACCAAAACAATTGCCAACGAAAAGGTTGATACAACAACAGCGAAAGAAGCAGTCGAAAAGAGCGAAAAGTCAGTAGAAGCAACAACAGTTGCAGAAACAACCACACAACCGTTAACCAGTGCAGTCGCATTGTCATCAACAATAATCGCAACAACAACAACGAAAATACACTTAACCACCACTCCAAGCTCGGACCGGTTTCGTAGCTCACCGGCTGCCGCTGTCGTCGCGCCTATCCGCATCGCTACGGACAAACAAGTATCCGACGTTGTCAATTCAGCCACCGCTCCGGCCACGAATCCGACTATTGGCGAGGAGACAGCGGCGCCAAGTATCGACGTCGTGAGTGATGTGCCGAGGAGTGGCAACAGCGATTTAGTGAATGTCGCTGCCGCGAGCAGCATCAAGACCAGCGACACCAAAAATGACAGCCGCAATAAGAATAAAAACAATAAGAAGCCGCCTGTGCGCATTGCAGCGTCAGCGAAGGCAACGATGGCGGCGAGTGAAATAAATATTGAACAAGAATTGCGAATGATTAATGAATTGGTGAAGGGCAAGCGACAGTTGGCCGCGCTGAAAATGGCAGCTTTAAAGGCAACAACAACAATGACACAAGCAGCAACATCAACACAAAAAACCACTGCCAGCGAACCAAAGTTGGAGGTGAAAAAATCCGGCGCAAACGCGGCTGAGAATGAACAGAATGCGCGTGGCGTGGCGGCGGTTGAGGTGCGGCACGATGTTGATGAAGCAACAACAACAACAACAACTCAAGTGACGACAATAACAGCTGAAACCACAACAGTGGTCAACTCGCCCCTGGTGGCGGCCAGTGGCAGCGAAAACGAGGTTCTACATACAACAGCAACAACAACAACAACTGATGGAACCAAAGCAGCTACACAAAAAGAGGCGACGGCTAAAATGGAAAGTGGTAGCCAGCCAGCAGAAACCACAACAGTGGAAAACACTACAGCGGCGGAGGCACTTAGTAAGATCGTTGAGCTTGCGACCACAACAGCAACAGCAACAGCAGCAGCAAGTGCAGAGCCTGATTTTGAGGCCGAGGCCACGGCGCCAAGCGCAGAAGCAACTGGTGCGACACTTTGGTCGCGGATTATGCCTCTATTTGGCTTTGGCGTAACAGCGGTGGAAACCGGAGCTAAAGTTGGAGCCGCACAAACAGCAGCAGCAACAACAACAGCGGTGCCAGCGGCCGAGGAAATTGTTGGAGGCGCTGCAATTGGTAGTATTAGTAGTAGTAATCGATTTAGTGGCAGCAATGTTAGAAGTAGTATTAGTGGTAGCATAAGCGATATTAGTAGCATTGGTAAGAATGTTAAGAACAACAATTTAATTAGCAACAACAACAACAAACATTTTGATGGTCCGATTCGTCGAAACAGTAAAATTATAAGAATTGATCAGCTTAGTGCTAATAGTGTGGGAGGGGCAGCAGCAGCAGCAGCAGCAGCATCAGCAGCAACAACAAACACGCTAGAAGAAGAAGAAGAAGCAACAGCGACGACAACAACAACGACTATGGCAAATACAAAAACCGATAGCATTGCGATTGCGCCAGAGCAAGCGCCTGCGGAACAGTCTTCATATTGGTGGCTACCTGCTGGCTGGCGTTCCCAACGGGACACAAGTGACGGCCAGCAGCCGTTACTGTTTCGCCTTTGGTCCGCATTTCCCGAAAGTCAAATGAAAGCCAAAGTAAGAACATAATAAGTCCAATGCGTACTACCTCTACTGTCGATTCATATGAAAAAGTACAAACAGGGGGAGAACTGTGAAAAGAAGTTAGTGAGAAATTTTTTGTAGTGAAATATTAAAAGTTTTTTTTTTTTCATTTCATTATAGGGATGGAGAGCCCGGCATGAGAAGGCATTGAAAGGGACGGGATTTTTCCTAAGAGCACTCGTACAAATAAAATAAACCAGTTAGAAAAAAAATATAATAAACAAAAAAGGCAAAACATAAAACATAAAACGAAAAATAGAAAACAGAAAAACACAACAAAGAAATAAACGAAACACAAGCTTAGCAAATTATTAAGTAGAAACCAATGAAAAGTAAACAAAAATCGCAAGAAAAATAGAAAATTTTTTAATAGTCAATGACATACTAATAACTTGTACTTGTGCCGCAATTTGTCGAGGAGATTAATGTGAAAGGCATCAGAAAGTTTGGACAGGGAAATGTGCGCCAAAGAATATTTTTAAACGGTATGAGCGATATTTCGGTGAAAGCTCGAGAAAGCTTCCATATCAGGCAGCCTCGGAAAAGTCGTGCTTCAAGTATGTAGTAAAGCGATGCAAACTTGCGAAAACCGACTTCAATTGGCATAAAAAAATTTAAGATGATTGTTTATTTCTTCTTGATCCTATGATCGTGGTCCAAAGTTATGCGTAAACAGATATACAAAATATAAAAAATATTCCGACGAATTGATAAACTTTTCTTTTTTTTTGGTTAAAAGGGAAGCTTGACCATGTGGGAGCCAATATTGCTTTTGCAAACATTCACTCATCGTGAAAGCTTTAGCTTTAGAGCGCATAGGGAAAGCTCAATGAAAATTGGATTTATTATTGTAAGAGCGAGTATAATAATGCTGGTGCGGACTTTAGCTAATTAGAGCCTTATTTTGCAGGTTGAACATATAAACGGCTCCACATAAGTGTTTATCATATACCGCATTAGGGCTTCCCCTGCATAAATTTAGTTGGAGTTTCAAAGGGCACTCGTGGGAGAAAGTAAAAGCCTATTATGCCTAGTTTTAAATATTGTATGACCTTTGTTTAGAAAAAGCGATAGCGGGCCAATATGGCGCCGAACTCGCGCTGACTGAATTCCTTTATGCAGCTGACGCTTATTCAAGTTATCATAAAAAGCTTATTTTCTTAGAACTTTATCCAATGAGCATGTATTTTTTGCGCCGGAAATTTTGTAAACCGAATGCAGTTTAACTAGTCGGTGCCAATTTGAACAAAATACTTTTTACGGTTATAAAAGCATTTTTTTCAACCTTATCTCTTTTCTGCTCAATACATTTTGTTCAGTGTTTTTCTGAATTTTTGCAACCTTTTCACAGCCAAAAGAGAATGACGTCTTCCATTCATCAAAATTTTTTCAAGCCGAGTCATTTTTTCAGGCCTAAATTATGCAGAAATTCACTCTCTTTTTAATTTGAATGCCTTAGGCACCATTAAGCACAATTAAGATTTTACGGCATAGTTTTATGTGCAGTTGTTAAAAAAATGTCATGCCATGAGCTTTTTTATTGACTTGCAGAAGACGCAGCATGCTCAAATGTTGACAGAAGCAGTGTTTTATTTTGAGTTACAATGCAGTAAATTCAAAAAGTCACTGACTTATCACACTAACCTCGTATATTCATGTAGAATGAGATTGTGCCCTGCAAAATACTTAATTGGCTGTTTTTTTTTTTTTTTTGTTAAATTTTAGGGGAATGTGCGACAAAAGAAACTGCTTTTTTAAGCTAAAACTCAAAAGTTGCCTCGTTTTAAAACAGTAAATTTTACGAATAAAAAAAAATCCGCATACTCGCGAAACTGAGGACACAGTGTGTTAAAACTGCGTCTTAGCTTTTCTCTCTGATGTCAGGTTTTATTTCCAAAGGACTTTGAAATTGTTTGTCTTTTGCCGCACGAAGCTAGCAAGTTCTAAGTAATTATGGATTGCTTCGCTCGAAAAGAAAGTCAGAACTAAAAAGTTTGTTCATGTTTTATGCCTAACCTCAAATTCTTCTTCATTTGGTCGATTATTAACAAACTTTTTGAGTTTAGAAGACAAAACCGTGGCAAATTTTTGATTTCTGGCTTCAGATGCTTATACAAAGGCCTAAAATCCGTACTAGTAAAATCAATAAATAATTTTCTTCTTTCTTTTGTGTGATTTGGTCATGATTGAGATTAAGGCGCTTAAAAAAGTAAACCAGTTGGAAGTGATTTCTTAAATCTCTTCCGAGTTTTAAAAATTTAATCACTTTCTGTAATTACGCATTCCCAAAATTGTTTCAAAGAAACAACGAAAAGTTCTCTGAGCTGCTTTTGAAAAGCAATTACAACAAAAATCAGTTTAATCTCAGCAAAATACGCGGGCAGGAGAATAGGAGAATATGTACTGCGTTGAAGCGAAAAACTCGTGCTAAAGTCGAGGTTGCCTGATAAGCTTGAAAGAGTAAAAAAAACAAAAAAAAAATATTATAAAAGAAACAAAAAAAAAAATACAAAAAATTTCCATGTATTGATGCTCACTTGAGAATGTATTAATTTATAAGCCGTTGTTGCTGTTGTTATTGTATTGTTTTTTTTTTTTGTTACCGCTGTTACGTAGTACATGCTATATGCATTTTGTTTTACATTAGGTACATATGTACACACATATTAATGCATATATGTAATATTTATAAGTATATTAAAAACTCATTATTTTTTATTTGTGTTTGTTAAGTCTTAAGGGGGGGAGGGAAATTGATTGATTTCGTACGTAGTACCTAGCGGTGTTATTATTGTTGTTGCTGCTGTTGTTGCTGTTGCTACTTAATTGAAGCTAAGGTTTGCATTTGCCTATAGTAAGTTTGTAAGTAAGTTTTTTTACGATACTGCATGCATTTTGTATGAGGTCATTCGCCGTTCTGCCATCCTTCCAAATTATTTGAGAAATTTTCCAAATGATTTAAATGCCACCAACCATATTTATTTCGTATCGTGTTTATTCGCCCAAGTGCTTTTATGCACACACGTACCAAGTAAAAATGTCGAAAGTACCGGCATCAATTTACTTACGTACATACATATACATATGTACATATGTATGTACATTAGACTGGGTTGGTTCCCATGCGAATGAAAAAAAAAAAATCCAATTGTCAAACTCAAGAATTTCCAAAAGACCTTGCAGCGGCAGTTACACCTTGCATGTAAAGCAGTTTTTATTTCTGAAAATCGAACTTTCCGATATTATTTTTTTTCTACTAATGCAGTACGAGCAAGTTGAAATTATTTCTTGTAAGCTATTTGCGTTTTTTTTATTGCAGTTACACCTTGCAATTTTTACTTCCGAAAGTGATTTACGCAAATTTGCAAAAAGAACTGTCTGGCTGTTTACATGGAAAAGAAGACTTTCGATTTTGCATTTTGACAGCACACCTTTACTTTTAGAGTATTTTGGGATCATTAAAATTTTCGTCTTGGCGTTTTCTCATCACACTTTAAAAAAATAAAATAAATAAAAATTAAAAAGTTAGGAAGAAATTTCGACTGTGGCTATTTTAAGGACTCGCCTAGGACGAAAATTTTCATAACCCTAAAATACGCTCAAAGCAAGCTTTGAAACTAGACGGGTAACGGCGAAGTTTTTTTCGTGACCGAGTCTAATGTACACCCAGGCTCATATTTATGTACTTTTTTATACTTCCTTGTTGTGCTCATTATCACTTATCGCGAAATTTTTGTGTTTTTTTCGTGTGTTTTGTTTTTTCTTTCCTCCTGCCATACTGCTGCTGCCGCACAGTGGCACAAAACGGCGAATGCCATGGCAATATTTACCATTGTGATGTAATGCAAGAATAACTAAATTTTTTTTTTAAGTGTATATGATTTTGATTCTTAGTGTATAAGTATGTATGTATTTAAAAAAATATTTACTAAGTTCTATTTGTAAATTTGTATGTATTAGTTCTAAGCAATACAATGTGTACATTATTAACTACCGCCTAAGATTTATTGTGTATTTAAACCATTGCATGTGTATAAAATTGTAATAATTGTGAAATTTTAAGCAAACAAATATTGTAATTAAATTATAGCTAAACTCCTTATTATAATTGTAAAAAAGTAAACAGTCACATTTTCTATATTTGTATTTATTGATGTGCCCCCATATTTTAGGTATTGTAAAAGCTTTGAAAGTATATAACTAGTATGCTATTCCTAATGATATCAAAAAGCATTCTTACTATTTGTAAATTACACGAAAGTTGGCCTTTTATGTAGGAAAATTTTATTGCATGATACATCACAAATTGTTGGAAAAATTTGAAAAAAAAAATCGATTTGAAAATATAGAAGATAACTTTATTATAAGTGCCTTACGTAAAATTGTTGGCTTTAATGACACTTTGGAACAATGAGCGAATATTCAGGTATTGTGTTCTACTTCTGAGAGGATTTTATTCCACCTCATCACATTATTGTTATGTATTATTCAATTATAAGAGTCCCTAACAAGAACGATTAACCTTTCTTCAAGTTTCCAGGCAGATATCTCTTCATAGCGACCTTAGCTGACAGCTATACCTTATAAAGAACCGATCATGATGCTTCTTCTTGGTGGGATATTTATGACTGAGAAGTAATTAGCCCACCAAATTACACGTATCTAGTTGTCTAATTGAAGACGTTATAATGCGAAAACCCATATATTAACAATTATGTGATATTCGTTGACAGATATCTTGAAAAACTATCAGATCAGACTTTAATACGCCCATTTGCTTGGAGCTAAGGTCATTACAAAGAAATCTCTGCATCGATGACCAACTTTTTTTCGAAACAGAAGCCTTGTCTACCTGAACGCTCAGTTATGTTAGCATAAGGCTTACGGTACGCAACGCTGGATCCCGCGGGTGCCCAAAACTGCCTACAAATCATTCTTGTACTCAGAAAATGGGTAATAGAGAGCAAAAATTGGAACGTATTGGATCGTAAGTGTCTACTTCTTCCTGCCCGAAACTGATTTTTTCTGTACTTTTGGGCATTGATCTACTTTTGAGAGCAAATTTTTCGCTTATTCTCTAATTACCGAATCCGGTCCGGTACGGCAAAGAACCTATATTTAACTTTGAACTTGTGCCTACATACAAACACCAATTACACACGTTTTTTGCCGCTCTTGATTTCTCCATTTCTCGCTCTCACTACTCAGGCGAATGTCAAGAGCAAAAAAATAATAATTAGGAGAGTGCAAACACTCGCATGCCTCGACATATGGGGAGCGTTCAGGAGCGCATATAAGGAGCGACATATTCTATGAAGTTTATTTTATGGTGCCTTAAGATTTAATGGAATCCATACAACTTCGGTTTAGTGAAATGAAAGTCGCAATTTGAACTAAACTGGAATTTTCCTTCGAGTATTTCTTGGAGGAAACCTATTATGTCAATATTTTTTGTAAATAAAACTAACTATTAATTAATATATTTTTAGTAAATATATTTAATTTAATGTAAAGGGAACTCAAATCTCTAATGACCAAGTAAATATTTTGCGTTTACTCGTTTGCGTAAATTAGAGAGATCTTATACTCGTATACCTGCATAGGAGCTTTCCAATGATGTGAGTATTGTGGAAAGCTAGCCCTAAGGTTTGGAGACAATAATACATACTTACGATTCTG